CAGCTTGGAGAGTGTCCCCTGTCCCTGACCTGGAGCAGGATAAGTGCAAGGAGTAGGGAGGTCACACAGGGCAGTGGCAGCAAGGTGACAGTGTGTTTGCTCGGCTTTGTCTCTGGGCTCTAGGATAGCACTTAACAAGAAAAATCAATCACAACCTTGTGAGTACTGCCAGCACTAAAAACTGCATTTGAATTTGTCCACTCAGGCAGTTAGTTTCACTGTAAAGAGCTCCGGAGCTAGAGGTTTCCATGGAAACAGAGGAGTATGTGGGCAAAAATTGCTTTACAGGGAAATGAATGTTAGCAGTGCTGTTAGGTTGGCACTTTATGGCTGCCCAGTTGATGTGAGTTTGTAAGTAATCCAATGAACAGTGACTTTAAAAAAAAGAAATACTTTTTCTCTCATAACAAAAGACTGGAGATAGGTGGTCCTGGTTGTGTTACAGATGCCCAATGATGTCCAAAACCCCCAGGATCTTTCTCGTCTATTCTTTGAATGTTGGCATGTCATCCACAAGCTTATTGCCTCAGGATGCAAAATGGCTGCTATAGCTCCAGGCCTCACATACACATTCAAGGCACCAAAAAGAGGAAAGGCAGGAAAAGCCAAGTGTGTCCATTTTACTTCCATTTATGCTGAAATCAAGAGCTTTCCAGGAAGCTTCCACCTCAGCAGATTTCCCCATTGATCAAAATGAGGTCACATAGCCAGCTCTAGCTTCATGGACTGCTGAGAACTGGATATCCGGCAAGGGACAGTGGAGACAACTGACACGATTGACTAAGGCTGATGTTCACTATGACCTAGAGCTGAATACAATTGTCAGCTTAATAAAATTGGAATTTGCTAATTGGAACTGCTTATTTTTTGCTCTTTTAAAAAAAGTATAGTTGATTTACAGTGTTGTGTTAATTTCTGCTGTACAGAAAAGTGACTCACATATATATATACATATATATATATATATATATACACACACACACACATTCTTTTTCAAATTCTTTTCCATTCTGGTTTATCACAGGATATCAAGTACAGTTCTCTGTGATATACAGTCGAATCTTGTTATTTATCCATTCTATATATACCAGTTTGCACCTGCTAACCCCAAATGGGAACTGCTTTTTTAAAATAGGTCTCATTGTCACCTGAAGGGGTAGATGGGGCAAATCATTGTGAGCCTATTTTTGTAGAAAAGGCAGCTCAGGCTCTGAGACATTTCATATCTTTGAGGAAACAGAACAAAATCACCTAGTGACACTTGCTGTAGACTGGGTTACCAGGTACTTATCATAAATCTTTCAAGCCAGCAGTCAGTCTGCAGGAACGGGGTAAAACCTGTTTTGCTTTCCTGGTTCCCAGTGTTTTCCTGGCTTGGATGTTTCGACATAAGAAGGGAAAAGAAACAAGTTTGAAACGGTGTCTAGGACCAAATGTTTGTAAGTGAAATTCCCTGCTGAATCCCTTTGATGATTGGAAGATAATCATTAACTAGAGTAACCTGCCTCCTGTCCCTCATCGCCCAGCATAATAATGGTCATAGAGCATCAGGAAAACTAGATGCAAGGGACTTGCTCCTTCTGCACCAGCACACGCACTCTATTTGGAGACTAATTAAGAAAATAACAAACCTGGCCACATTGGCTAAGAGAGCTCCGCACTAGGGTTTGCAGATTTTGGAGGGACTTTTCCTCCACACGGCAAAATGAAAGAGAATTTCACATTGTCATCGCTTCTCTTTCCTGGGTTCTGGTCTTTGAAATTACAGCTGCAGTGTTCTTGCCTCTGGGGCACGCTCTTGCTACCTTGAATGTTCTTTGGCAACTTCCTACAGTTCCCTCCATCTAAGTTCTTACCCTTTCCAAGAGAAATCCTCTCCTGCAGCCAGCCTCCCTGCTCCCATAACCCCTTCCTGCTTCAGATGTGGTCTAGGTCAGGTCAGCAACCTCGCCTGGGAGCTCGTTAGAACTATAGAGTCCTGGTCCTGTCCTGGACTCACGGAATTAAAATCTGCATTTTAACAAGAGCACCAGGTTCTCTGTGCACATTGCAATTTGAAAAGCCTGGCCATAATACACAGGGTTTTCTCCATCCCACCACTTAAAATACCCTCTCTCTGTCCCCCATCTCCTTTGATTTATTCCCTTCCTAACTGTCCTTCAGAGCTTAGCTCGTGTCCCTCTCCCTCTGTGAAGCCCTCAATATTCCCTCTCTCCACCTTACCCCTATAGATCATGACATTGAGAATTTAAACAAATGCAAAATATTTCATTATTTAAATGATTCAGATGTTAAGTCTATTTATTGAGATTATATCTTCTCTTGGGACTTCCCTGATGGGCCAGTGGTTAAGACTTTGGCTTCCATTGCAAGGGGTGCTGGCTCAATCCCTAGTCAAGGAGCCAAGATCTCACATGCCTCACTACCAAAAAACCAAAACATAAAACAGAAGCAATACTGCAACAAGTTCAATAAAGACTTTAAACAATGGTGCACATCAAAAAAGAAAGAAAGAAAGAAAAATATATCTTCTCTCAAAGTGCCCAGCACAGGCCAAGCACATAATGTGAATTGTCTGATTCATCAATATCTGTTTCCTGTGTGAAAGCCTTCCCTTAGCTTTGCATGCTCAGTAGCTGAGTCATGTCCAACTCTGCGACCCCATAGACTGTAGCCTCCAAGCTCCTCTGTCCATGGAGTTCTCCAGGCAAGAACACTGGAGTGGGTTGCCATTTCCATCTCCAGAGGGTCTTCCTGACCCAGGGGTCAAACCCATGTATCCTGCATTTGCAGGCAGATTCTTTACTACTGCACCACCAGGGAAGCCTGCTTCCCTTAGCTGTACCTTATCTCTTTAAGCTTCTTCTGCGTCAAAGCAACTCCTATAAGTTTTTGTCTTCTCAACACCTTACGTACATCTCCACCCACTCCAGAGATTTCCTGAAGGCCTGGCTCTTATCTGCAACCTAGTGGCTTTCAACTGAATCAAAGCCCCAAAGAGGCCTCTAACCATTTGTTTGTATTTTGACTTTGTACCCCAAAAATTTCCATAACTTCTAAATTTGGACAGGGAATTCTGTTAGAAAAATTTACTTTTGGATATGGAATGTTTTTCTGCTCCACCATGGTACCCACAGGAAACGGGATTGCTTCTGTCTCTCTTGTGGACATGCTATGTAGCAGTATCTCTGTTACTGGCCCCAGACCCTGAGACAAGAGCCACATCTCTGAGTCTGCCATCTCCCCAAATTCCAGGTGGGGGGGGGGCACACATCCTAACCACCTACAATTTTCCAAACCTTTTCAGGAGATTATAGGATCTTTCCTAATGCCTGTTGCAAGGGAGTGGAGCTAGGACAGCAGGAACTCTACACTGACTTTCAACTTCCTGGTTTCTGTTCCATGTCACCTCTGCCCGCCTTGAACAGCTTTAGTTCCATCCTGACTCTATATAGTTTTCAAGTCTGTTGTTTATCATATCAGCTTTAAGTACTAAAATACCCAGGATCTTAATAACTCAAAAGCCTTTTTTCCTCAGAGCTATTATCTCCATGGGTATCATGAAAAGAAGAAAGAGGGGGACTTCCCTGGTGGTCCAGTAGTTAAGACTCCACACTTCAGTGCAGGGGATGTGGGTTCAATCCCTCATCGGAGAGCTAAGATGCCACGTGCCGTGCAGTGCAGCAAAAAAAAAATACCATTAAAACAAAGAATGAATATATGTATAATCAAATCACTTTGCTGTATACTTGAAGCTAAGATGACATTGTAAATCAACTCTACTCCAATAAATTTTTTTAAAAACCTAAAAAAAATGTCATTTTGGTGTTCATTGATCATCAAATGGCTTTTTCTTTCTCGAAGCAGAAACTCGTGCTACCACCGGAATGGTGGGGTAGAGGAGTGGGTGAAATAAATTGCTGGAGGAAATCACCTCATGTCAGCTAACCTGACATTAACTGCATTAGATTCTTGCTCTGTTACATGTGTGTTTGGCATGATATTGGAGTGACCTCTTGCATTTCATCTGGCTGGGCAGTCACCTACTTGGGGCATTTTGGACTGTTGCTTGCTCATGCTGGCCGTGGTTGATAGCAAGCTAGCAAAGACCGCCACTTCAGAGGGCCTGTGGGCGGGACACTTCACTCTGAAAAGGGGTCTGTGGTGAGGCAGGCTTTCTGTGGCTTAGCCCATTTCATTTATTTCCTTAACAAAGATCATGTATCCTCAATAGGGAGGTGGTTGCATCAGAGCTCGACCTTTAGGTTGGGGCCAAGTCACATAGCATGAGCTTTACCGCGCTCTCATCTCTTCATGCTCACAGCCCAGCCCCATAGGACTCTCACAACAGACACCTCTGTTCAAAGACCAGCGAAGGCAATCAGCTAAACTAATGAAACTATTTACACCAAACCACCAGAGACTTGCTTTGCATGTTTGACATATCTTAATTTATTTCAATTCAGTGTCAAAATTTATTCAAAGAACCAAATCCAAATAGCATATGCTGTCACTTATATGTAGAATCTAAAATATGTCACAAATGAACCTGTCTTTGAAACAGAGAGAGACTTACAGACATAGAGAACAGACTTGTGGTTGCCAAGGCAGGAGTGGGTTGGGGGCGGGGTGGATTGGGAGTGTGGGATTAGCAGATGCAAACGATCACATACAGAATGGATAATCAACAAAGTCCTACTGTGGTAGCACAGGGAACTATGTTCAATACCCTGTGATTAATGGAAAGGAATATAAAGAGAACATATATATGTATATATGAGTCCCTTTGCTGTACAGCAGAAATTAACACAACACTGGAAATCAACTATAGTAAAAAAATAATAATAATTAGAAAAGAGAACCAAATCCATCCAAGACATCAGTACGCGAATAACCTTGTGTGCTACAAATACAGGAGAAGGAATCTGGGTGTGTTTTGATAAAGGCCTAATGGGCAGGGAGCCCCTCTCTGCCACCCCCAGTCACTCCATTCCCCCCAGTGGAAGTGCTGTTTCCTCATTCCTGAGGCTTCAGCAGGTTTCAGAAGCTGGAAGGCCATCTTCCTCGAGGTATGTGTGCTCATGTGTTACTCTGCACTGGGAGTGCGACCCGGAGGGATATTGGAGAGGGCAGACGTATGAGAGAACATGAAGCAGCCACTGTCCACCCCCACCCCTCCCACCATGTCATCTCCTTCTTTCCTAATGTACTGTGTGTTGGGGGGAAGGACAGTGAGACCAGGACCCTCTTCCTCGATGGTCTCCTCCGCACACTTTTCATGAGCACTCTTCACTTTTTATTTGCTGATCAATAAAGCCAAGGGTAGGTCTTGCCTGTTCCCAGCGATAAAGAACTGCACGCATAACTGGTCTTTATCCAGTCCAACAAGCTCCGTTTCTCTTTGTTTTTCACAGTGTTTCTGAGAGATAAGAGGAAACCGCCCAGACATGATGCATGACCGGGGAGGTTTTGCAATATTTTATAAACTCATTCTCTATTCGGAGCTGTGGATTAGGGGCAGAAAGAAAAAGAGAGGGCACCACATAGAACAAAAGTTGATTTTTTTTTTCTGGGTTAAAAACAAGCAGGTGGATGGGACTTCCCTTGGTGGTCCAATGTGGTTAGGACACCACGCTTTCACTGCAAGGGCGAAGGTTCAATCCCTGGTCAGAGAACTATCTCCTATGCAGCACTGTGTGGTCAAAAATAGAGAAAAAAAAGAAAAACAAGCAGGTGGAGGAAAAGGAGACATGAATATATGTTCAATGGAGGAAAAAGTAATCCAGTTTTCAATTACCGGCAGGGAAGTCAAATAGAGAGAACTTTAGTCATTCAAATGAGTACATACCCTGAAACTCCAGTGGCCTTTTCCTGTCACAAAAACTGCCTCTGTTGTATGGATTCAAGACCAGTAGAGGCAGACAGAACCTCAGTTCAGGTGAAGAGCCAAATATATTCCCAGGGAATTATGGATGGTACCAGGATAGACTCCTTTTAAGTTCATGCCTTTTGAGGCTCTTGACAAGTTTCTGAGAGTGAGCCAGGATGGAGGGGTTGATATGAGACTGATAATGCAAGATATTAGGTAGAGTCAGACCAAATGTGAAATGAGTTGATGCCAATAAAGGCACAGAGAAAGATGTTTTTAGTGGCAAATTGAAATTTTGGTAGCAATTTGATAGATGCAGAGTGGAAAATATAAGAGAAATGGGCCTTTCAGCTAAAGAAAGATCTGGGGTTAAGCCTTGAAAGGATGGTGGGAAGGTGTTGGAAGATAGGTCTTTGGGAATGTTAGACAGGAAGGAGTAAACCCAAGAGGCAAAGATAGGTACCTAACAAAAGAGAAATTTAAGTTGAAACTCATGGCATACCTGTAATTGTTTCTGAGTAAGCAAATGGAAAACAGGAACCCAGAGTCTTAGTGAAGCTGATGTGTTACATGCTCTGCACTACAGTTTCTTTCCATGCCTGCCTGGGCTCATGAACTTTTCTTTTTTAATTAAAGAAAAAAATTTAAGTTGCTTTACAATGTTTCAGATGTACAGCAAAGTGATTCAGTTATAGATATTATATATATATATATATATATATATATATATTCCTTTTTTCAGATTATTTTCCCTTATAGGTTATTACAAGATACTGAATATAGTTCCTTGTGCTATACAGTAGATCCTTGTTGGTTATCTATTTTATATATAGTAATACACATCTGTTAATCCCAAATTCCTAATTCATCTAATTCGTTCCCCCCTTTCCCCTTTGGTAACCATAAGTTTGTTTACTCTGTCAGTGAATCTAGTTCTGTTTTGTTAATAAGTTCATTTATGTCATTTTTTAGATTGCACATATAAATTATATCATATGATATTTGTTTTTCTCGGTCTGACTTTCTTCACTTAGTATGATAATCTCTAGCTCCATCCATGTTGCTGCAAATGACATTGCTTCATTTTTTTAATGGCTGAGAAATATTTCATTGTACATATAAACCACATCTTCTTTATGTATTCCTCTGTCGATAAACATTTAGGTTGCATCCTTGTCTTGGCTATTGTAAATAGTGCTGCTGTGAACATTGGGGTGCATATATCTTTTCAAATTAGAGTTTTCTTCAGACATATATGGTATTTCTATTTTGAGTTTTTGAAGGAACCTCCATGCTGTTCTCCATAGTGGCTACACCAATTTACATTCCCACCAACCACTGTCTAAGAGGGTTGGTTCCCTTTTCTCCACACCCTCTCCAGCATTTATTATTTGCAGACTTTTTGATGATGGTCATTCTGACCAGTGTGAGGTGGACTTGTGAACTTTAATTGCTCTATTGTAGACTTTTGTCTAAAAAAAATGTTTCCCAGGCTTTCTAGAGTTCCCCCACAATACCTAATAAAGGGCCTCACCAGACTAGTAGCTCAGTAATGTTAATTGGCAAATTAATGAACAACTTCCTTTTTATGTAATTATTTTTTCAAATTAAATGCTAGATTTGAAGAGGCCAAAACCTGGATTATAGTTTGCCCTTCTGTGCGTGCATGTGTGCATGCTAAGTTGCTTCAGTCATGTCTGACTCTTTGCGACCCTATGGACCATAGACCACCAGGCTCTTCTGTCAGTGGGGATTCTCCAGGCAAGAATACTGGAGTTGGTTGCCATTTCCTTCTCCAGGGATCTCCCCAACCCTGGAATCTAACCTGTGTCTCTTAGTCTCCTGCATTGGCAGGTGGGTTCTTTACCAGTAGCGCCACCTGGGAAGCCCCTTGTAATGTTGGGTAAATCAGAAGAGCAAGTCATGATTTAAGAAATCATTAGTTATTTCTAAAGGATTGGGTGAGTCAGATGGCAGATACCACATAGGAAAATTTGATGTGTGAGTCTTTAGAGAAAAAACAAAATTCAATAGACTTGATCCCAGATTCATTCAGTCAGGCCAAGGCTGAACTGTAGGTGATTTTTCTTTTTTTGGTTACTCTGACTAGTACTTTTCTTACATAGGTTTGCCTTTTTGGAAGGTTGGCTTCATGAGAGTAAAGGTCTTGTCATCCTGTTCACTGTTATGTCTCCAGCACCTGGGACAGGCTTTCCTGCCATGTGATAGTAAGGGCTTAAGAAATAATTTTGGAAGGAAGGGGAAGGGGGGAGGTGGAGTAAAGGAAAGAGGAGATGGAGGACTCTGCTTTTCATGCCAGTACAGCTAGCTCTTACTCACTCATCAGTTACCAAAGACCCCCTCAGGCTCAGCATTAGGAACCAAGGATACCAAAATGATGAGACGTCATGGTCTTTTGCATCTGATTATCCACTAGAGAGAAAAAGAGAACACAGTGGGTGCTGTGCCAAGAGTAATGGGGACATGAGAGGGTGCCAGAGGGAGCATCCAGTCAGCCCTAAGGCTGAGTGGGTGGCAGAGAACATTGCATACCTGAGCCGGAACCCTAATAATTGCAGTGATGCTTTGTAGACTTGAGAACATTTTAATCTCTATAGCCCTCAAACTTACAGTGGGGAAATTGAATAAAATATGGGAGCCGGCATGTCACGCATTGCCTTTTGGCCATCCTCTGTTCAGTCATTTTGTTTTTGCTGTGGGATCTTTATTCCCCAACCGGGACTGGAACCTGTGCCCCTTGCAGTGGAAGCAGGGAATCTTAACCACTGGACCAAAGGAAAGTGCCCAGAGTCATTTTGATAGCGAAAATTCTTTTGGACTTTGGTTTCCTTCTGCTGTGCTGTGCTATGCTCAGTCAGGTCTCACTCTTTGCAACCCTATGGACTATAGCCCACCAGGCTCCTCTGTCCATGGGATTCTCCAAGCAAGAATACTTAAACGAGTTGCCATTTCCTCCTCCAGGAGATCTTCCCCACCCTGGGATAGAACCCACGTCTCTTGTGTCTCCTGCCTTGGCAAGCACCTCGGAAGCCCTTCAGAGACTGCAAAAGTAGGCTCTAGCGAGTCTGTTGTGTAGCAGCTTGTCATAGAATTGTGGCTTTATAAGCACAGTCAAAATGACACAAACTGAAGGCCTATTGTCTGAGCCAGACCCATGCCATATATCAGGAGTAACAGCTTTGTTAAGTATGGTCACTTAGGACCAGTCTTTGTTCTTTTCTGAGCAACTGCTTGTTCTTGTGACAAGGATTAATGACATAACAGCTGTAAGGTGGTCTTTGCCTTTTACAAAAGCCTATAGCAGTAAAGATTTGTGTTTGCCATCAGAATAGCAAATTTTCTGAAGAGGGGAGATAAACTTGACAGCAGAGAGAGAATCAGTGGTTTTTTTTAAAAAAAAAAGGTGTGGTGGGCTGAGCTTATTTACAAAGAACAGGAGTGGGGGGTTTTATGCTGATAGACTATTTAAGCAAGAAAATCTGATGTCAGAGGAATAATGAAGATCCTGCCTTGACTTCTGCTTCTTGATTTCCTTACTCAGGTGCTGACCCCAGCCCAGATCAAATCAATTTGCCAGGCCATCCTGGACTCTGGGAAACAGTATGCCATGAAAAAGAGGAAGCCATTCCCGCTGATGTATTCTTACTATGGAACTGAATACTTAGGTGAGTGAAGGTGTTGGCCAAGGCCTGGAGGAGGAAGGCAGTCTCTAATAGCCGCTTTTACATAGGTCATCACTATCACTGGGAACCTTTTAAAAAGCCACTTGAAAATAAATATTGATGGATACTTGAAAGCACAATTTCATATTTATTTTCAGAGTCTACCTGTCAGAAAGGTAACTCTTTTTGGAGAAGGAAATGGCAACCCACTCCAGTATTCTTGCCTGGAAAAATCCACGGACAGAGGAGTCTGGCGGGCTGCAGTCCATGGGATTACATGACTGAGCATGTGTGCACGAGGGTGGAGGGAGATGGGTTGGTAGCAATAAACTGGTAGAACTAAAAAAAAAAAAATTAAAAAAAAAGAAAGGTAACTGTTTTAACACTGTGTGTACGTGTGTGTGTGTGTGTGTGTGTGTGTGTGTGTGTGTGTGAGTCAGTCAGTCATGTCTGACTCTATGTGACCCTATGGACTGTAGCCTGCCACACTCCTCTGTCCATGGGATTTCCCAGGCAAGAATACTAGAGTGGGTAGCCCTTCCCTTCTCCAGGGGATCTTCCTGACCCAGGGATCAAACCCAGGTCTCCTGAATTGGCAGGCGGATTCTTTACCATTGATCCACCAGGGACTTTGACTAAAGACTAAAATACTTTATTCTTGATTGTGAATTCATTGGCCTATTTTTGCTGAAAGTTGAACAGCTTATACAATCACTGCCAGTAGTACCTGTGCACAGGGAAACAGGATTCAGCCACTGACATTGTCAAGTTTTTAATATTAATGGATTAATTCCCTGGTGACTCAGTAGTAAAGAATCCACCTGCCAGTGCAGGAGACATGGGTTTGATCTCTGGGTGAGGAAGATCCCCTGGAGAAGGAAATGACAACCCACTCCAGTATTCTTGCCTGGGAAATCCCATGGACAGAGGAACCTGGCGGGCTACAGTCCATGGGGTCGCAAAGAGTTGGACATGACTAAGTGTGCGCATGCACACACACACACAACAACAGGATACCAAATCACAATGGCTACTTTTGAGATATGAGGCTTGTGAATGAAAGCTGGTTACTCCCCCCTTGAATCTTTCATAGTCTCCCCATCGCCCCTTGCCAGCATGACTTGCAGGGCCCATTGTAGATCGCCTGCCTCCCTCTCCAAACTCCAGCTTTTTCTTTCGCTTCCTTGGTTCTGCCCAGCATAGTCTCCAGCAAACAAACCTTTGTGCCTGTTCCTTTTGCCCAGAATGCCTGGCTTTCCCCATCCCCTTCATCCATTTGTCATACTTGGGCCCAGACTTCCAACTGGTCCTCCTCCCAATTGAATTAACGATGCTTCTCTTGTCTGTATAGGAGCAGCTCATGGCCTATCGTCCATCCTCCAGATGCTTCTTTCTTACCATGAGCACCTCAAGCCCTCGGACCAGGAGCTGGTGTGGCAGAGCGTGGACTTCCTTATGGAGCAGGAACAGAACTGCAACTGGCCCCCTGAGCTCGGCGAGGCCATCGAGAGGGAGAATGAGCTGGTGCACTGGTGCCACGGCGCCCCAGGTCTCATTCCCATTCTTATCTGAAACCATTGCCTTTCAGCGGGCTTAGCCAAAGACACATGCCTTTTCTGAGAAGTGAGGGTATTTCTCACCTTATTCCATTACCACAGGAGGTGAAAAGGTCAAGAGAAAACTTTTCAAAGTCAGAAAAGTCTCCATCAGTTCAAGATTTCCAGAAATGATGCTGTGTTTAAAATATAAATGATCAGTATCTATTTGCATACAAATTAAACTAGTGTTCTCCAATAAAATATAATATGAGCCACAAATGAAATTAACTGTTTAGTAGCCCTAGTGAAACCACAGAAACAGGTGGAATTAATTTTCATAATAGATCTACCCCAATCTTCCCCAAGGGGCTTCCCTGGTAGCTCAGACAGTAAAGAATCTGCCTGCAATGCAAGAGACCAGAGTTTGACCTGTGGGTCAGGAAGATCCCCTGGAGTAGGAAATGGCAACCCATTCCTATATTTCTTGCCTGGGAAGTTCCATGGCCAGAGAAGCCTGGCGGGCTATGGTCCATGGGGTCACAAAGACTTGGACATGACTGAGTGACTAACACTTTGAGTACACCCCAAATGTTATTTCAACATGCAGCCAATTTAAAAATCGAGTAGGATTTCACAGTTTTGAAATATTGTCTTTGAAACCCTGTGTATATGTTAGACTTACAGCCCATCCTGATTCAGACTAGCCATGTTGCAGGCACTCAGGGCCTTCATGGGACAGTGCAGGTCTGGAACCTCACAGTTCAAAACGTGGTCCCTGGACCAGTGGCATGGGCCACCTGGATGCTTGTTGGCTATTGAGAATCTCAGGCCTCACCCCAGCCCCAGTGAATCCCAATCCGCATTTCAACAAGGTCCCTAGTCAATTTGTATGCACATTAAGGTTTAAGATGGACTGTTCTGTAATTTGTCTTCAAATGACAGTTTCCATTATCACCTAATGAAAAGTCTAGAGAAATGAGAAGCCATTTGTCCTGAACTCTCTGGAATTGAGCCTGGAAACTTATCAGACCCCATCTTTTCACTTTCTTTCTTTCTTTTTAACCCCATTATACCACTAATTAGGCCTTAGAGAAGATGCAATTCAAAATAAATTAAATTCAGAGAAAACAATTCATTTTGGTCGATTGGTCAGGGGAGAGACTTAAAATACCGAAATAACGCACATTTTGATTAGGAGTGTATTTAATTTTCAAGGCTATGCTTCAACGCCATGAGTGAGTACAGCTTTAAAATATATTTAATTTGTCTTTAGTTTGTTACCTGATTTTTATGACTTCCTTTCCCCTCCTTACCTATGTAATGTTCTTTAATCCAAGTGGAATTTCATTTTTACTTCAGTACAGTCTGAGATGACAAATAATAGAAGTCAGTCCATTGGCTAGATTTTCTCTGCTTGCCACTTTTGCTTAAGGGAGGACTTCAAAGGCTCCTGTGTGCACTTGTACCAGCGCCAGGGCATTGTACATTATGTCCAGGCTAATCCCCACCAGTGATCATTTGAGTCCATTTTTTTTCTGGCTTTGAACTTTTTCTTGAAGAAAAACAGCAGTTATTTACCATTCTGGAAACGATATCTCTTCATGTTACCCTCAACACTCTCATTTCCTATTCCCTTTAATCATTATCAGTGATGGCCATTGGATATCCTTCAAGCACCCCAGGATCCTTGAGTTTTGGAAATGTCCCAAATTAAATACAGCCTATTTTAAAAGGATCCAATGTATAGCCCTGTAAAGAGTGGCCAGATTGTCTACTAAAATAAGTGGCTGGGTCACTTAATTGATGTGGGGGTCTTGAAGGACAGTTACTCCATTCTTTCTGTAGTGTACTTCACATCCCATCTGTCTTTGTAAATCATGGACCATAACAGTAAGCATAGAATTCATTACCCTGAGGACTTTATTCTCATATATCATTCATGTTCAGTATCTTGGTAAGATTAAATGTAGGTTGCAAAGCAAAAGCATTCAACCCATGTATTCACCAGACTGCCAAAAATAAGCCAGTTCACAAATGAATAAACAACCAAATGGAGCCCATTATGTCTGCCAACTACCACTTCCATCTCAAGGGTATCGGTCTTCCTTTTAAGAGATGTGCTAAAAATAGCACCAAGAGGGATTAGGAATCTGATAAGTGCAGGTTAAAAATCATCAAGATTCCTCTGAAGTTGGCAACAGTAAGCTCTCCAGAAATTCTAAAGCAGGAGATGACCTAGAAAAATAATTCTCACTTGTGTAAGGAAAACATTTTTTTTTTGGAGAGTAGATTTATGAACAGTACAGATGGTTTGGGGCAGCAGGCTGATTCTGTGATTAAAAATCTGCCAGAAATAGTCCACAATGTGGAATTTCATCAGTGATATCTTATCTCCCGCTATAATTGTTTCCTGTTGAATTTCCTTCAACCCACCTCTACAGGTGACAGCCTTAGTTATCATTTATGCAGTGTGAATATACTTCTGGACTCTTAAGTTAATAACTCTGGATTCTAATTGTAGCTCCAATGCTAACCAGTTAAGTAACCTTGAGAAAACCACTTTCTTTTGTGCTTTTTTGTTTCTTCATCTGTGAAAGAAGTATGTGGAGATGGAGTAGGGAAACTGTCTTTTTTAAAAAAAAACACTACAGAAACCTTTTATCCTGTGGTCCCTTGCCCTTCCTGAGGGATATGGCCCCAATGATTTGCAGACACTCAACATTTATAAATACCTAGTGAAATATCGAGTTTTTCTCACTAGATGCAGGCAGATTCACCTGACCCCTTCCTAGCCTTAGTGATTCTGAAATACAAGCTGAAAACTATTTACAAAATCATTAAAACAAATGCTGTGGCTAAAATAAAGTCTGGATGGCATTATGTTACATCATTACTGTGGTCACACTGAGAGTTCATTTCCTTTACTCTGGGTGAAACACAGGTGTAGCTATTTTTTTTTTTAATCATTTCTTGAGGGCTCCTGGATAGGTGACTTTTTTCTTTGTTGTTTGTTTTTTTATTGAAGTGTAGTGAATTACAAAGGGTGACTTTGAATAGATAACAGCAGGGATTTGTACAGTGCAGGTGTCTTTGGCCACTAAGCTTTGTAGTATACACTGGACAGTGCCTGCAGTTACAGATCCCAGAATGGACCTGTGTGCTGATTCTGCAGGATGTTGAAATAATATGTACCAAGTCTGACTGTTATGAGGCTCTATTAGATGACATGTTTTCAAAGATTCAGTCTCCCAAACCATATTTCTTAAGTAATAATTCCTTTTCCCAGTTGTATTAATATTTGGCAGACATATATCATTGCTGCCTGGGAGTTTCGTGTCAGTGGACAATAATCACTGTTTCTATGATGACATGACAGTATTCCCAGCAAAATCAAAGAAAGCCAACATCCTTTCCTTTTAGATTAAGCCACCTGATTGTGGACTTCTCTAGGTTAGGTAAGCAGACAATAGGTTTAGGAGTTTTTCAAGGTCCCTTCCATGTACCATTCTTTGATCTGGGGTGCAGGAAGAGGCCCTTTCTCTCTGGCCAGAACCACAGGATCAATGCCCATTAAGCTGCCTGGGGCTAGTGGCCTGGTTTAGCAATGGGACCATCTCAGCCCATCTTCCTTCCGCATATCTCATCTCCACTTCAGCATCTGCCTGCACCGGGGTGAGAAATGAGACATTATAGGGTCAGCAGGCATTTGTGGAGGCCTTGACATGTGTCAAATACCAAGACACAGATCGGAGAGCAAAAATGAACATGACAGAGTACCTGCCCTTAGTTAACTGGCACAATATGAGGGGCGGCAGACATGAAAACAGGTCATTTTAACAGATTTACCGATACAGAAAACAAAGTAGTGAGTACCAATGGCGTACCAGAGGGCTTCCCTGGTGGCTCAGTGGTAAAGAATCTGCCTGCCAATGGAGGAAACATGGGTTTAATCCCTGGGTTGGGAAGATCCCCTGGAGGAGGAAATGGCAACCCACCCCAGTATTCTTGCCTGGGAAATCCCATGGACAGAGGAGCCTGGCGGACTACAGTCCATGGGGTTGCAAAGAGTTGAACACAACTGAGCGACTGAACATGAGCTCAATGGGTACCAGAGGGTAGGCGGAAGGGAGGAGGGGCAAGATAGGGGTGGGGATTAAGAGATACAAACTACTATGTATAAAAGTGCTAAGCAACAATGATATGTTGTATGTTGTTTAGTTGCTAAGTTGTGTCTTACTCTTTGCGACCCCATGGACTGTCGCCTGCCAGGCTCCTCTGTCCATGGGATTCTCTAGGTAAGAATACCAGAGTGCGTTGCTATTCCCTTCTCCAGGGGATCTTCGCGACTCAGGGATCCAACCGGGTCTCCTGCGTTGCAGGCAGACTCTTTACCATCTGAGCCACCAGGGAAGCCCATATGTTGTATAGCACAGGGAATTACAGTTTTCTTGTAATAACTTTTAATGGAGTTTAGTCTGTAAAAATACTGAATCTCTATCCTGTACACCCGAAATGAATATAACATTGCAAATCAACTATACTTCAATTTAAAAATAAGTTATTATATTTAAAAACAAGTAATTTTAATATGATAACTGTATAAGTGCTCAGATTTGTAGGAGTGATGGGAGCGCAGAGGAGGCATCTCTGGTCCTTCTCCAGGTTCCAGGAAGGCTTCCTGGAGGAGGTGATGCCTGAGATAAGTTGGCCAGACTAAGAAAGGTGAAAAGTTTATTCCAAGAAAAGTCAGAGGCATGGAGCCAACATGGTGGAGGAAGGGAACCATGGGGGTGGCTTGGTTTTACTGAAGTGAAAAGCTCCACAGAGGGAGAGGGGGAGGAGTAGCCAGGGGACAGAGTAGGAGCTGGGTGGCCGAGGGCTCTCTGTCTCACCTAGACAGGAGCGTCACCTGGATTCTGGAGGGGGAGAGCTAAGAACCACAAATTACACTGCAGAGTTGGTCCGCCTTGAAGCAGAGGGGGCTGACCTATATGTCTGTTAGTCATTGGCCAAAATTGCTTGAGGGTGGGGGTGCATTGCATAGCCTCCCATTTGGCTGAGGGCTTATCCCCCAAGAAGAGGAAAGCTGTGAGTTTTGTCAGCAGCCAACTCACAGCAGCTGGGAGATGGGACACCTGCTGGTAAAGAAAAGGGATCTGACAGAGCGCCAGGGGCTTCTGGTTCACCTTCAGTACCCGGGTTAGATGGTGTCACATTCCTCATGGGTCTTTCCTCCCTCCACATGTGGGTTAGGAGCCTTCCTCTGTGCTTCCGCAATGCCTTGCTTTTCCCTCACATGGCCTAATGAATGCCCCCAGTTAGGTTGTAAAGACTATGAAAGGAGGGGCTTTTAAAAACCTTAGCACCTGCTATTGTCCTGGTATATAGTAGATAATTAATATCTAAGCAGCCACCAAGTCTGTGAGCTGTCTCTTTCATTAGCCTCTTTGTCATCTTTCTGCCGACACCATCAGCTCATAGCTCCCCTACTGCCCTTCTTCAGGTCTTGGTTGACTGCACAGTGGGGCATTTTGTCTATAACAGTAATCATCATTAAAAAGATAAACCAAAATATTCACAACAAAACACTCCCACTGGTTCCCTACCCCCCACAAATACAGTCCAAGGTGCCCAATTGGACTTGTAAAATCTTCCCAAATGTGAACGCAATCTACCCTTCCATTGTCCTGTTGCTTAGAACACTCTGCCCCACTGGTCTTCCTGTGACTTGTTTATTGTGGCTTAGAATCTTTGCCCTTGCTGATTTGATGCCTGGAATGCTCTCCCCCTCTCCTCCTGCTTGCAGTTTCCTATGTATCCTACACAGTTCTGGAGAAAGCCTGACTTCTAGCAAAGCTTCCCTTGACAGTCTCCCTCAGGGAACTTCGACTTTTCTGATCCCTCTAGTATGATTTTCAGCGCCATTCATTTTATGTCCCAACATCATCGTAAACTGCATGTCTTATTATGTATCTGTCACAAGTACATATTATTTTCTCCCTTTCTAGATAATGCCTTCCTGAAGGACAGGCATTGTGTTGAGTTATCATTTATATCACCCAGGGCTGGAACTGGCTACATAATTTGGGGGACCCAGTACAAAATAAACACGCAGACCCCTTTTTGAAAAAGGATTAAGAAATTCAAGATGGCAACAACAGAGCCTTCAGTACAGGGTGGGGGCCTTCTGGAGGTCCTTTATGAGGCCATACAGTTCACCCGCCCGTGAAGCTGGCCCTGCCTAGGGCTGTGAATACAGCAGATCATCAATGAACACTTTCAAATGAATGGATACAGTGAATGAATGAATGCATAATTAAATAAGTGAAATTCTTTTAAAAATCATTCTTTGTGGAAATGACACTTTCTTCCTAGAACTGAAGGAGGATAGTGCTATAGGTGACCATTGTCAGTGGTTCTCTGGAAAGCACTGGCTGAGGAGAGCCTGTTGTTAGGTGTTCATCATAGAGAGTGTTAAAGAATACCTTTTTTTCCCCTTTTTTTGCCACATGGTGAGACTTGTGGGATGTTGGTTCCCCAACCAGGGATCGAACCCATGCCCCCTGCATTGGAAGCGTGGCGTCTTAATCACTGGTCTGCAGGGGAAGTCCCCAGAGATACATATTTAAAAGAGAATAAAATCATCACTCTCAGACAAATATAAAATAAGCATGTCAACAATTTTATTTAACTCATAAATTAATAAGGGAACCAGAAAGGTGTTATAACTGACTAAAAGGAATCTCCAAAGAGCAGACGTATCTCTAGGCCATGAAGAAGGCTGACATGAGTTTGCTTAATAGATGCAAAAACTAGCTGCTTCCACAAAGACTGAGGGAAGTCAACGCAACATCTATCGGACAGAATGTGAAGTTTCTAGAGACAGAGATTATTTACATTATTGTCAGTTTTCTACAAGGTAATTTCTGTCTCTACACAGTTGTAAAATAGGCCAGTCACAGACAAAGGCAGAGATAACCCTGATGGATGAGCTAGTCCAAATACCTACTAAATTCCAGTCTTTCCCACTTTCTGTAGAAGGTGGGGGAGGCAGGAGAAAGTTATCTTGGACTACTAATCTCTCTGAATATGAGCACCTGGAACGTGGAGGAAATGGTTTCTATTAATAGCTATCACTTCTCTTGTTTCCCTTCCTGCCTGTGTAACGGAGATTGCCTTGGTTGAGCAGTGCTGAAGGAACGATCTTTCTTTGGAACAGTAAAGATGGCAGGGCCTCACTTCACAGCTAAAGCCAGAGTCTTGGTCAAGTCACTCGGAATCATTGTTGTTTTTGGAAGGACTCCCAGTTGGTCTCTTAAGAAAAGGTGTATAGTTTTAAATACTTTTAACATGACAAATTCTGAATGTCCGTGGGGGGGATGGGCAAACTGTATAAACATTTAGCCTTTCCAAAATAGCAAGATATGTGTAATGCTTACCAGGGTATTTGTCATTAAATATTAACCCATTTGCAAATTATGGATTTTATCTGACTAGGTGCCTGTTGCTGTTTCTTTCAGTACTGATAATCACCATACAATTCAAACAATTTAAATCTCACAGGTACAATAAGACTCCCTTGGAGAAGATTCTATAGCCTTGCTACTCAAAATGTGGTCCCTGGAAGGGTCATTGTTAGAAATGTAGTACCCCTGGCCCCATCTTAGACCTACTTGATTAGAATGGATATTTTACCAATACCCTGATGATGTGTGGGCCTCTTCCAGTTTGAGAAGTTCTACTCTATAGTATTAAGCCTTGAAAATCACCTCTAATATCTGCGATGTTTTTACAGGAATTGCCTATCTGTTTGCCAAAGCTTATCTGGTTTCCAAGAAACCACAATACCTGGACACATGTATCCGGTGTGGGGAACTCACGTGGCAGAAGGGCTTGCTAAAGAAGGGCCCAGGGATCTGCCACGGGGTGGCTGGCAGTGCCTATGTCTTCCTGCTGCTGTACCGGCTCACCGGAAACTCTAAGTACATCTACCGAGCCCAAAGGTCAGCCTTTCTTTGCATGTTTTTTTGTTTTGCCAAATGTTAACCCAGTTAATGTTCAGAACAAGTAATAGTCACATAGTTTTAAAAGTGTAAACACAAATACTTGCGTGGTGCATTTTAGCAATTGAATTCACTTACCAGGAGACAGTTACCAGTATCTTAGTTACCTTCTCAGAGCTATACATGTCTGTGTGTGTGTATATATATATGAGCAGATAAGTGTATATGTAAAATTTTGTCCCTCTTTTTTGATACAAATGGTAGCACTTTGCTATCATAGTGATCACCCTCAATCAGTAAATAAAGGACCTTTCATCTTTGTTGTGTAGTATTGCATCTTATGAATGAGCCATATGGAGGGCAGTTTGGATTCTTTCCAGTGTTCTGCATTGTATATATATGTATGTGTGTGTCTGTATATATATATATATATACACACATATATATATATATGTGTATATATATATATCATGATGTTCACCTATGGGTATGAAAGTGTGTTAGTCAGTTGCTCAGTCATGTCTGACTCTTTGCAGCCCCATGGACTACAGCCTTCCAGGCTCCTCTGTCTGTGGAAGAATACTGGAGTGAGTTGCCATTCCCTTCTCCAGGGGATCTTCCTGACCCAGGGATCAAACCTGGGTCTCCTACATTGCAGGCAAATTCTTTACCATCCTAGCCACCATATCTGTAAGGTAAATCCCTAGAAGTGGAATTACTGGGCCAAGGGGTATGCCTATTTGTGATTTTTTTATTTATTGTGGTAAGAACACTTAATATGAGCTCTATTCTCTTAGCATATTTTTTAATGTACCATATTGTTAGCTACAGGCACAGTATTATACAGAAGATCTCTGAAACTTACTCAACTTCAATAACAGAAACTTTCTACCCATTGAGCAAAAACTCCTCACTTCCCCTCCTCCACCCCAACCCTTGGCAACCTTCATTCTATTCTCTGCTTCTATGAGTTTAACTGTTATAGATTTCTCATGTGTTATCATGGAGTATTTGTCCTTTTTTGTCTGGCTTATTTCACTTAGCATAATGTCCTCATTTATCATTTAGAACAGTGCCTGACACAGAGTATCTGCAGTGTATGTATTCAATGTTATCATCACTAAAAATTTGAGTTATATCATTCCAGACATTTCTCTATGCATAAATGTATGTTCTTATATCTATGTATATATATTTTAATAAAAACCTATAATATGTATGTATAACTGTACTATACATACTGTTTGCAGTTTATACTTTTAAATAAACAATTGTTAAGGGACACCATTTATTTCAGTTTGTGTAGATCTAGCTCATTGTTGTAATAACTGTATAGTTATTTATTATAGTTGTACCATGATTAATTTAACCAATCTTTAAGTAATGGACACTTAGTGTATGTGCAGTCTTTACTAAAACAAACAAAATTGTCCCAAATATCCAATACATATATTTTGGTACCCTTGTCAGAAAAATTTTAAAATTGAAGTCATTAAATCCAGAGGTATTTTTTAACTGTCTTTATCTTTTGTCCATTTTTTTCCTGTTATGATGCTTATTTTGAGTACTATAACTCTTTGTCAGTGTATGCTATAAATATTTTTCTACTTTGCCATTTTTCTTTCAGCTTAGTTCATAGTCTTTGTCAGACCAAAATTTTTATGTATCTCTTCTGAAAAAGTTGTCAAATTTTTTAAATTTCTGGATTTTGTGTTATACTTAAAGAAACCTTTCCCACTCTAAGATTAAAAAATAATATTAATTTACATGAAACTTTAGTATTTTGGGGCTTCCCTGGTGGCTCAGATGGTAAAGAAGCTGCCTGCAATATAGGAGATCTGGGTGTAATTCCTGGGTTGGGAAGATCCCCTGGAGAAGGGAGTGGCTACCCACTCCAGTATTCTTGCCTGGAGAATTCCATGGACAGAGAAGCCTGGCAGGCTACAGTCCATGGGATTGCAAAGAGTTGGACACTACTGAGCGAGTAACACTAGTCCTACTACCCAATCACTAACCCATGAGTTGCTTCTGACTTTCCCTACAATTGGGGGGAAAAAAAAATCTGATGAACAACCTCATTTGTGTGTCTTTGTACACTGTCTTATTATTTCCTTTGAAAAAATTACACAGAGAACAATCAAGTTATTCCATGTCCTTCCTCCTCAAAAAAAAAGCCAGACTGTACAAGCCCGGAGAGCACAGAACTCTTCACATTAACTGCGGACCTTGTCCTTCTTTTAGATCGTTATACAAAAACGACCTCTGCCTGTTTTAACTGACCCCTCGTCATTGCTGTACTTCCTTCCTGCCTTCCCACTCCTCACACCCTTTGCCCGTTTTTTACGTCAGGATATTCTCAACTAACTGTCAGGATAATCTCAACTAACAGTCACAAGCTCAAAAATGTGAAGCCATTAACCTGGTTACAAAGCTAATCTGAGTAGAGCCAGGACTTNTGTGTATGCCCAGAAGTGGGATTGCTGGGTCATATGGCAGTTCTATTTCCAGCTTTTTAAGAAATCTCCACACTGTTTTCCATAGTGGCTGTACTAGTTTGCATTCCCACCAACAGTGTAAGAGGGTTCCCTTTTCTCCACACCCTCTCCAGCATTTATTGCTTGTAGACTTTTGGATAGCAGCCATCCTGACTGGCGTGTAATGGCCAATTGTATTTTAGAATCAGTTTTTCAAAAGTTAAAAAAGTCTATGGACATTTGATTGGGATTTCAATGAATTTATATGTTGCTTAGTGACATTTTTAGAATATTGAGTTTTTCCATCTAAGAACATCATATGTTTTCCCTTTATTTAAGTTTGTAAAAATGTCATTTGGTGAACTTTTGGTCTTATGAAAAAGGATTTGTGTGTTTCTTGTTAATTTTATTACTATGTATTTTATGTTTCCAGATTTGCGAATGGAATCTTTTCCTCAATTATATTTTCAGGTCATTTACTGGCATTTATGAAAGCTTTTAAAAGTATACATATTATTGTAGTTAAAAGCATACATATTATCTAAGATGCCCTTCTCTCATATGAATCTACATTGTATCTTACAAACATCTTAGTTTTGATAAATAACAAGATGATATATCTGGCCACCTTAGTGAACTCCATTAAGATTTCTATTAGATTTTCATTAGATTCCATTGGGTTTTCTAAGTAGGCACTCATCTGCAAATAATTATAATTTTGTTACTCCCTACTCAACTGTATACTCTTTTTTTTTTTTTCATTTCCTATTGCATGGGTCAGAACCTCCATAGCAACGTTCAATACTAAGGATAGTAAACATCTTTGCCTTCATGCTGATTTCATTAGGAATGAGTGTGTTTCACCACGATCTTTTAAATTTGCTTCTTATAATGTGTATCATATCAGACTATGACACTCCTCTGTTCAAAATAATCTGATGGCTTTCTACATGACTCAGTAAAAGACTTAAGTCTCTTCACTAAACAAAAGGTCCTCCATAACCTTGTCTCCCATTATGTCTCTGATATCATGCCCTACTTGTCTTCCTTCTGGTTTTTTGCACTACAGTGATTCTGTTAAGATTCCAGGTATAATCTACCTCAAGGCCCTTCAAATTTTGGGTTTCTCCATACCTGTGATGTTCACTTCCTACATATATCTCCCAGCTCTCTCACTTCATTCAGACCATCATTCAAAAATCATTTTCTCAGAGAGGCCTTTTCAAGGCAATTTATCTAATATTCACTCTTAAACTGTAAACTACCCTTTATATTTGCATGTATGCACAGAAGGAAAAATACTAGCATATGAGTCTCCTATTTGTAGCTGCATTGTTTAGGAATTCTGTTAATGTATTTTGACTCATGTCTCCCTAATCTATTTAGGTTTGCAACCTGACCCTTTATTTTCCAAGTATAGGCTTTATTTCCCAAACATAGGCTTCCCTGGTGGCTTAGATGGTGAAGAATCCACCTGCAATGCGGGAGACCTGGGTTCGATCCCTGGGTTGGGAAGATCCCCTGGAGGAGGAAAACACCTGCAATGCGGGAGACCTGGGTTCGATCCCTGGGTTGGGAAGATCCCCTGGAGGAAGGAAAGGCTACCCACTTCAGTATTCTGGCCTGGAGAATCCAGAGGAGCCTGGCAGGGTGCAGTCCATGGGGTCACCAGGAGTTGGACACGACTGAGGGACTAAGTACAGCACATAGAGGAAAAAAAGTCATTTGGGAGATTATTTAGGCTAATGTGATATCACCATTGGAATAAATTTCATCAGAGGTTATCATGCTCTAGAAAGCCTATTAAAAAGGATCTGAACAACCCCTCTATTTTTCTGGCAGGCCAATCCTAGATTACAGTTTTAGTTATAAAGCCTGGGATGGCAGAGTCCTTCAGACAAATTTCTCACTTACAAGTAAAAACTGAAAATGTGCAGGTAATATCTGAATATTGTTTGGATATTGCATTTAATTGTTTAGTGAACTGAAATTTCTACTTCATCATAACTCAAATGTGGTATGGCCCAAATTAGAGAAACTTCCTTTGGCAGTTCCTAAAACAGTAAATTCAAACAATATGTACCTTCCTGGAATAAACATTATTTGGTAATTTCCTATTACTCTCTTAACACAGAGTTAGAATTTATGGGTCCAGAAAGATATTTGACAACCTTTTCAGTTTCCTCTATGATTATTTAATTATTCAGGTTTTCTACCTGTTTTTGAATTATTTTTGGTAATAGATCAAATGTAAAGAGCCTGCCTACAATGTAGGAGACCTGGGTTCGATCCCTGGGTTGGGAAGATCCCCTGGAGAAGGGAATGCAACCCACTCCAATATTCTTGCCTGGAGAATTCCATGGACAGAGGAGCCTGGCGGGCCATAGTCCATGGAGTTGCAAAGAGTTGTACATGACTGAGCGACTAACACACACAAACTCTTATAAAAGCATCTAGTTCATATGGATTTTTTTTTTAATCTTTGATGTGAAGATCTGAAAGTACAGTTCCATGGTATTTAAAATTTCCCATGTCTGTGATCATATGCCCTTTCACATTCCTAATGCTTTTGTTTTTCCTCAGTGGTGGTTTAGTCTCTAAGTCATGTCTGACTCTTGCGAACCCATGGACTGTAGCCTGCCTGGCCCCGCTGTCCATGGGGATTCTCCAGGCAAGAATACTGGAGTGGGTTGCCCTTCCCTTCTCCAGGGGATCTTCCCAACCCAGGAATCCCAACCAGTGGTCTTCTTCATCACAGGCAGATTCTTGACCAACTGAGCTACGAGGGAAGCCCTGTTTTTCCCCAGACGCACCAGCATTTTGTCTATGTGGTTTATCTTTTAAAGAAACTGGCTTTTGGTTTTTATTAATTCTTTTTGTTTTTCTCTTTTGCTTCCTAATTAATTGTTTTCTGCCTTTATTTTTTTTCTGCCTTTATTTTTTATTTTCCAGTGTTCATTCCCTTTACTTTGTTATTCTCAACAGTTTTTAAAAAGTGCTTAATTGGAATACCTTCCATCTTTATAACAACAACAACTCAGATCAATGACTTTTCCTCTGAGTTCCGTTTTAGTCATAATAGGTTGTTTTTTTTTCATAATAGGTTTTGATATGTAATGTTAGGTATCTGTAATTCTTTTTAGTTCCATAATTACCATTCTGACTTCTATTTTTACAGAATTTCTTAGAAAAATGAATTGGTTGGTTTGAATTTTGCACCATTGGGTATATTTTGGAAACAATCATTTTTACTTTAATATGATAACATGCAGTATAGGTCAGAGTGCAATGAAACTGCAACTCTTACACATTGCTGATGCTTTTGTAAATTGCTGAATATCATTTAGAAGTTATTTTGAAAAGCACAAAAATATTTATCATGTTATTTTTAGGTTAAAAATATAGGATATTAAATATTATACAAAGTATGATTTCATTAGTATAATAAATAAATCAAACCCTGGCAGGAAAAGGTCAGATGAGGAAGCAAAATTAACTGTGCATTTCTCTTAAAATATGGTGGAATGGTTATCTATCTTACAAATATTCTGCTATACTATGTTTTTTGAAAAAAATGCATATTTACTGTGTATTGAATGCTTGCTCTTTGCCCAGAGCCCTAATATATGGTATCTTTAATCTTTACAGATAATCTTAACGCAATTCTGCAACTTCATCATTTTAAAGTCAGATTAAGAAATTTGCTAAAGGTCATCTAACTTGAAATTATCAGAGTTAGATATCGCAACCCCAAAGCCCTTCCTCTTTCTACGATACCAGGGCTTTGTGTGTGTGTGTGTCTGTGTATGTGTGTTAGTCACTCAGTCATGTCTGACTCTTTGTGACCCTGTGTACTGTAGCTTGCCAGGCTCCTCTGTCCATGGAATTCTCCAGGCAAGAGTACTGGAGTGAGTTGCCATTCCTTTCTCCAGGAGATCTTCCCAAACCAGGGTTTGAACCCAGGTCTCCCACATTGCAGGCAGATTCTTTACAATCTGAGCCACCAGGGAAGCCCCAGGACTTTGTAATCTAGGGTTTGTGAATTTACTTAAGAAAAGTATTACATTTTACACTGAAAGGTAGCATTTCCTTCAATTCTGAGTCTGCAGTAGCCATGACTCTGTCACCAGTAGAAGTCTTAGATATTCTTATGTTATTCCTCTTGTTGCAGATACTGTGAAATGTATTTTGCTCTAACCCCTAGTTAGAAATGTCAGCAGTTATTAGATCCACTACTGGATCTTGTTATTTAATGTGCTAATTAAGAATCCATTTATCATTGTCTCACAAATTTGGTTTAAAAAATTTTGCTAACTGTACTTTAATATAATTAATTTCCTTGGAAATCCTGTGTTTTTTACTTTATGTATATGGAGACTTTTTTTTTCTGATAATGAATCCAGATTGCCAAATGATACAGAACACTAAAAAGGTAGCTATACCAGGAAGTTTTGGTGTGTAATTAAACATTTTGAATTAACTCTTAAGATGCATCATTATTCTACTGTTTAAAATTTTGACTTCTATTAAAAATTGTTGCATATTCAGGAAAACAGTTGAGAGAAAAATTAGCCGAAACAAAATTGCAATATGTTTCCTGCTCATTTATTTTAAGCTACTGTCAATGATTCCAAGAGCCTGAAAAAGATCAAAGAAGTAATTACTCTTCATAGGACACCCTAGGTAGTAGCAATAATCTAAATTTATGGCAGAATCAGCTGTCAGGCCTTTTCGACCTATGAGCTCTAGCCTCTGAACAGGTGATTATTTTTGTTGTTGATGGGAATCGGTAGAGCAAGTCTGTAAAGAGGTAACAGCACTGTAAAACCCGTAAACTACTAAAAATGGTACTCGTTAGAAATGATTTGAATAGGCTTTGTGGCAAATACAGGTAAAAGAAAAAAAGATCTCTCATTGAGAAGTTAGAGATCAGTGGTTTGTTTTTAAGGCAGATGTCCTAAAAATAATCTATCTTGTAGCTGAGTTTGCTGTTTGATGTCATGATTATAAAGTGTTGCTTGCCTTTTCCCATTCATCTTATTCTTTTGTTTGCCCAAAGCAGAGATTGTATAATATCTTGCACATTTATTTTCATAGTCTCTGCTCTCTGTCACATATAAATGAAACCTAGGTTGGAAATGATATGCCTGCAGACACACAGCATATTTACTTTTTTAAAGGCACAGGCATATATCAGCTTGCTTCTATTCAAGATAAATAAAAGTATGGCTACTTATCTGTCTTTTTTGCTTTCAATTATTGGATGGCAGAAGGAATGAAATCCTCAGAAAGTGCTTTGCTTTGCAAATGCCGAAAATAGTCAGATTTGCTTGCCAACCTAGGCTATGAACATACACAATGGCATAATATGTCTCCATTTCTTAACAGAGAAGAAGGTCTTCTTAAAATCTTATATACATCTGGAAAGAGAATGCTGCTAAAACTTGAACTTACCAGAGAGGAGGATGAAGCAACCCAGGGTCAATAATATGGAGACATATGAAAACTGTTCATATCTTCTTCTTCTCTTAGGTTTGCTGAATTTTTATTTACGGAGGAATTCAAGGCTGGTTCCCGGGTCCTTGAAAGTATATACAGCTTGTATGAAGGCTTCTCCGGGACCGTGTGCTTTCTGATCGATCTGCTGCAGCCCAACCAGGCTGAGTTCCCTCTCTTCAGCGTCTTTGTTTAGAAGGCTCCATGTCCCATCATGGCCCTGCAGAAGGTTCCCAAGATTTCCTGAGCCTACTACCTGAGGCATTTTCCACATAAGCCACATTCAATGGTATCACAACCATGAGCCTTAACATTGCCGCCAGAAGGAAGGAAGGGAGCAGGCAGGTGAAGAAGGCAACATGATTCCAGGTTGAAGGGAGAACAGTGTGAGAACCTGCAAACATAAAGACACCACAACTTTTCTAAAACCCCTAGAGATGGAATAGTTCAGGGAGTGGATGTGACACCAGAGATCCGAGGAAAAGGGGAAAGAAAAATCATCTGTCTCACTTAAACCAACACTGAGATGTGGATTATGGCAATGAAATGCCAAAAATACCTTTGCAATTGGAGAGAGAATTTGACCACTTATGGGTGCCCTCCACCCCTAAATTCAGAAATAAAGACCATCAGAAAGCTAAAGTCATTGCCCAGCTGAAAACTGCTAGGAGGGATGGGTCAGGTTGCCAAAGGACAAAAAGGGAAGCTCTTGGTTGTCCTTTGCCTTTACTTACTGAAATTCATGATTTTTAATGAATGGAGAAATTTGCCTATGAATCTCTGTTTTTATCATTACCCTGGGCACTTTAAAGAAAGCATACCATAACTTAGATTCAACCCCCAAAGTCCAAGTTCCCTTAGGCCTTAGAGCATATCTTTTCCTGGTTCCTTCTTCTTTCCAAAAGCTCAGTTAGAATAGCAAATTTCACAGGCTAGCAAATACCATAGGTGTTGCTGTCGAGTGTTTTTCTCAATTTGAAACTTAAGCTATGTACTGTCTATTGTTAGTAATTTTTAAAATGCCTATGTAATCTCAATGAAGCTATTAGCTGAACTATAAAATATACTTGTGGCAAAAATCACTCATCTCAAAGATGAGGGTAAACACCAAGGAGGTGGGTTGTTTCTGCCTTGGGTGGAATACTGTGTCCCCTGGGACACACACTGGCCCAGAAAGGGACCAGTGATTATGAAAAGAACATTGCTTAATTTTATACTATTAGATTAAGATATGTGTGAACTCCCCAGCTGATCATCATATCCTCCAAGACACAGACTCCACTAGAATTTGTCTACAATATCCATTGAGCCAAGCTGTCATTAAATTCAGCCCTGCTGTAAACACATAGAAGCTGTAAAACTATTTCAAGTAAATAGTGCTTTCCAGAACACTGTGGGAGCATCTGTCACTTCAATACTCAGAACATGAGTCTATCCATTTCCTAGAATTTGGTCACTGGCAATTTCATATATCAGAATGAGGAGGAAATTGAATGCATTGTAAGATTTAACAGTTATTTAAATAGTCATTAAGTATTTGGATATATGTGATAGATGTAGAATATATATGTATCAATAGGCACTTTGGTTTACATGGGGATAGATGTATACATACATCCAGAGAAGGAAATGGCAACCCACTCCAGTATTCTTGCCTGGGAAATTCCGTGGACAGAGGAGCCTGGCGGGCTACAGTCTATAGGGTCACAAAGAGTTGGACATGATTGAGCGACTGAACAACGACAATACATCTGTCCCCATGTAAATGTAAGCACTTACTTCGTTCAGTACTTCCAACTTCTTGATTTATAGATGAACTTTGGGAGGAGTTGGGGAATACTCTGTTGCCTAAAAATGTGTGTGTGTGCATGCGTGCGTGCGCATGCACACTTTTTTCTGGAAAGAAGATCTCTAGCACTTATAAGATTCTCAAAGAATCTGGGACTGAAGAACGGTAAGAACTGTCTTCATATATTTGATGACTTTGTTTATGTGTGCATTTATCAGAGCAAGCTAAGACAAAGTGGTTTTGAAAAGCACGTACCTTTTCAGCTCATTGTTTCCTTTTCCCATCCTCAGATGTAAGTATATAAAATTGGCCTCAGTTCATCTTTGAAGATACTCAGATTGGGGCAGTACCACATAAATAGTCGCTTGCAGGTGACTGCCAAAGTTGGGTTCTAGATGTTCTTTCAAGAATTGAATGGTCAAGGACCTCTCAGAAAGCCTTAAGACAAAATGCCTTCTACACAGTAGTCTCCTTTTGAAGTGATAGTGGTACCTGCTTTTCACCATTTGGATATAAATTCATTTCATTTGACCCCTATAGGCTGACAGTAATAAGCATTCAATGTACAGGGCTTTAGGAACGCATGCTTTTTTTCATCATCCAGCAACCCTTCAAGGTGATTTACATAACTGATTCAAAGTCTCATAGTTAGAAAGGGGTAGAATAAGGATTTGGATTCAGGGTTTCACTTCCCATGTGTATTTATTCCATATTCTAGACTAGAACCTGGGGATACAACGAAGAACAAAATACCCTAGAAGTTAGCTTCTGTTTCTGTTTGCTGATCCTTCCACCCTTCATCCTTAAGACCTAAACCTGAGGTCTAAGAAGTGGTAATCTAGCTCGACATGCCAGTTTCATTTCTAGGAACTTCAGAAAAACTGGACACATTTCTGCTCACCCACCCTTTGGAGGTCCAGTAGGGTAACTGTGTTGTCGTCGTCAAAAGACAACCTTTTTGTGTGTCAAATCCAAGAAGAGGCCATGTTTGTGTCTTTATGAACTGACGCCTCAGTAAATTAAAGACAAAGATAAACTTATTTAGCACTTAAACCTGTGGAAAGTTTTCATTTTCCTGAGAAAGTAGAATTATGGGTTTGGGAAGGTCCTCTTCTATCTTGTTTTCCCAAGAAGGGGGAAAGAGACACTTGAGTGTTGCTGTAGAAAAGTATGGCATGTCACTTCTTATTTAACTAACCAATGTGTTCCCATCTACGTAATAGCAGTCTTTTTTGAATAATGCTAAAGGGTGTCACCTCTTGAAGGCTACAAGGGTATTTTCACCACCACTAGCATTACTTTAATATTATTTAAGATATGTGGGCATGAATAATTATAAATTTTGAAGGTAACTGTGGAAATATTTGAGGATAGATTGAAAGAACCTCTCAACAATGGGAGAGACTGCCTTATACTGGGTTGGCCAAAAAGTTCATGTGGGTTTTTGAACTTTTTGGCCAACCCAATACTTGGCAAACAGGAGGCATCAGAAAATATTTCAACTCTGTGTTTTATTTCATTAACACAATTATGTACCTTCTCTTTCACACCTCCCCAATGTATTTTTATTTTGCCTAATCGCATTTTTTCCATTTGTCAATTGGTAATGGAGAACAGAGTTTTGACAGCATATTCCACTGTGCTTCTTTAGGTAATTGACTATTCTATTGAGATAATAGTATTTAGTTTCTGATAACTCGAGAAACAGTCATTTTCTTGGCACATCCTAAATTTGAACTTTTCCATAGCAATTTGGATCTTTAACTTTCTTTGACACATTTAAGATTTTGATCAAGATTGTGCTCAAATTGTTCAACTTCTGTAGAGAGCAAATCTCAAAAATTTTAGTACAACAAATATGTTTATGATTTATTACCATTTAAGGGAACAATGATTTAAAGAAAAAAAAAACATCAGTAATGCAAAGAGCCTTATTTTGGAAATTTTAAACCCTTGCTCCATGGGCCACTATAATCATTACCATCACGCGCTCCACCTCACAGGGTGGTCAATGATAAAATGGATATAAGAGAGTTTTATGGGCTTCCCCGGTGGCTCAGCGGTAAAGAATTTGCCTGCAATGCAGAAGATGCAGATTTGATCCCTGGGTTGAGAAGATCCCCTGAAGGAGGACACGGCAACCCACTCTAGCATTCTTGCCAGGAGAATCCCATGGACCAAGGAACCTGGTGGTCTACAGTTCACAGGGTCAGAAAGAGTCGGACATGACTGAAGCGACTGAACATGCATGCAAGAGAGTTTTATAATAGGCAAGTCCTTTATATGTTTAAAAGGGAAGCTGTATTTTAAGTACCCACTAAGAGCATAGAAAATCATGCTCAATTATGACTTCAAGTGAGCATTTCAGCCAAATGGAATCTCCTTATGATGCAGTGCTCAGAGTCTGGATCACTTGCTGGGTAAAAACAAAGTATGTTTTTTATATTCTAGAACCAGTCCTGTCAATAGCATTTGTGCCTCAAAAAGTTCTGATTCACTGGGCTGAGCACGTAGGAATAGGCTGGTTCGGAGGGAACTCCTTTTAATGCAAATATTTATTTTGCTCTCTGAAAACAAAGGATTACAGTGCCAGTAACTCAAGAAAAGGAGCTACCGGTTAGGTCTGCAGAGCAAGCATGAACTGGGGGATAAGGTAATTTGGAGTTGAGTCTGGTTTGCACTTTAATTCAGGCCTCAGTATTGCATGACATAGAGTGATAGAAATGTACTCTCATGGCATAGAAGGCCTTCCATTGGGGGCCTTGGTTATTTATTCAGCACTATCCTAAATCAAGAGCAAAATGACTAAGCCTCATATTCACCAAGGCTGGGTGATTATGGCATAAACTTGGCAAGGAAAGCCAATGAGAAGGCAGGCAAAGATTGGGTGGGAGAAAGCTTAGTATCTCAGTGTGAGTTGTGGAGGCACGTTTAGTGCTGCTAAAAGCCAGTCCTCTTACTCATGGGTTTTATTGCTTCCTGGGACCTCTAATCCCATACCACCCCTGATCCAGCAACTTCTTGTCCTCCTTCTCTTTAAATAGTACATTCTGATTTGTTGTTGTGGTTTTTTTTTTCTGTGTCTGCTTAATCATGTGACCTTTTGCCTGAGAAGGCAGCTTTCTCCTTATCTCTTCCATCCATGTCAGTTGGTAGCTAAGAGCTCCAGGCCCAGGAAGGCTGGAGTCCCCTCCAGATGGAAGGGCTGACCTCAAGGTCAGCAGCAGCAGGAGCCGGGCCCATTCTGCAGTCTGAGATAGCCCACACTGGGTACACCTGTTCACGAGAGAAGGGTGACTGCATTTATCCTGCCTCTCCTCCGTAAAGAAGCCTGGTCAATTTATTTGTACTGCTCTTGGAAAACAACAACAACAACAAAGTTCATGCTCCATTAAATATCTGGACCTCCCACATGATCATAAATCTCATACTAGGGGTGCCCTCTCTCTCCTTGTTTCTTTAATTGCAAGTGCTAATGAACTGAGGCCTGATGGATGATGCCTTTGGGGTGAAAAATATATTTGTTTTTATTTTCTTTAAAGTCCTGAACCTTGTCATTTGCACATGGACTTCTCCACAAATGTCAAAGTCTCTTATCTGCAGAACTTCCTGCACCTTCTTTGGCCTTTGTGAACCCATTACCCCTCTGAACTGAATTTGAAAAAATCCTTTAAAATGAAAACCAAATCATCCATGTTTTTATTCTTTGTGGGGAGGGGTGGTGGTGGTGAATAGCATGGTTTATCTGCTCCACAGAAAAATAAATAAATAAAAAATAAAAAGCAGATGGTCCTTTCTTTTCTTGCCTTTCTTCTCCATGTAGAATATTCAGGAAGGAGAGAGAGAAAGGGAG